CAGATCTTTTCAAATCCAATTGTATAATCTTTTCAGATTAAAAGGATGGGAAAATAACAACCAATTTCAACTTATGAAATTGTCTTCAATCTTATAAAAAGATTGGCCTGTGAATATAACAAATATACTCAGTACAACGGATGTACTTCATATATGAGACTTTTTGAGGTTCATCTCACTAGGTCTTCCATTCAATCTTCGATATCTTATAAAAGTATATCTATGAATGTTTCGGCAAAATAACATATACTTTGCAAAATATGTGTGTAGAACGAGAAAGCAACATATGCTTCTGTTTAGGATCAAAAAGATAAATCACATGGACTACACAAATTTATCTGACTCAATTCGTGATCAAAAAGACTTGAAGGGTGGACATATATCCTTCTGTTTCAATATCAACTTTTTCCGAATGAGAAATTGATAGATTATGAGTTATGTACCCCAAGTATTATTGAAACACTTATCTGTTAAGAGATAAATGAGTACCTGGTGGGGTTGTGACAAAAATTGGCTTGGTCTTTGCCTTTTTCAATATTAGTCTCGAAAGAATTGAGAACTAATAGATTACGTGGTATGCCCAGTATTTTGAAGTTTAGAACAAGATTCTTGTAATCTTTTAATCTTGACACAACTCTCGTCAATTCTGTTGTCTCACAACAAATACCCCTCTCATTTTCATTTTAAACTCTGCACAGAAACCCTTTTGTATTTAATATTAACTCAGATATGGTTGTCCTCTTGTGTAGGGTTGTCGGTTCTGACATTTCCATAGAGGTATTCCTGTGAAGCACTCAGTCCCTCTTAAAATTACATTGTATGCTCAAATGATCACAAGCTAATGATCAAAATATTATCTCTGTAAAACACAATGATCAGATAAAATTGACCAAGAAAAATATAGAGTTGATGTACAATCAATCAAGAAGTGATACACAAAATCAGATTATTCAAGAGAAATGAATGAAGATCTATAAGAAGAAGTTTACAGATTCTGATATTCAAAGAATAACAAATGTGTATCAATCAAAGTAAAAAAAATATCAGGAAAAACAACTTTGATTACAAACGAGCATATTATCACCGAAAATGATTTTCATTTTAAGAGATGTGATAATAACAGTTTGAAAAATAGCTGAAATAAGTATTGGAATTATGTTCGATGAGAAATTACAAAAGTAAAATCTCAGGAAATACGTGCTCAGAAAGTATACTCGTTGCATAAAACAGTTCCATTTTCCAAAAACTTTTATTAAAAATTTCTAGAGACTACCCCTACAAAATAGATTTGAGTAATGATTCATTTCAGCTCAAAATAAACAAAAATTAAACCATTTTGGCACGGGTCCTGAACTGTGTATTCAGAAACCATAATCGTTAAAGCACAGGTCCTAAACTAATTTATTCAGAAACCTCATTTGGATAGTATACAAACTCCCCCTAAATTTGTGCATCAAAAGCAAAATTTTCTGATCAGCACAAAAATGACACACTTGAAAAATCAAATCAAACAGATTTTGGTACCCAGACGAACTTGGGTCCTTCTTTGTTAGTATCAGGTTGTGGGATGTTGTAACTGCCAAACCATCTATTCTTATAAGATGTTTTCTTTTTCGCATTTTTAACAGGTTGATCATATATGCAATAGGATCCATACCAGTTATTATTATCATACTTATTATGATTCTTCCAGCTCTTCTGATATCTGTTATCTCCATTCCACTTGTTGTACTTTTTACTGTTCACAAAATCTGTGGCTTTGCATGTAGAGCACATTATCCTTCTCTTGCTAAGATTTATCAGATCATTAATAGTTCTCACAGTGCAAGGAAGAACATGGTTAGTAACTACAGAGTTACAAGACGAAACAAATTCATCTTTATTAACCCAAACATTTTTTTTTCTTTAGAATGAAAATTGGGTGATCTAATGACATACCCTTGATAGTACTTATTTGAAAAACGAGAATAGTTCTTAGAAACACTTGATTTAGGACTTCTTGAATAATTGTTAGATTTAGAACTGTCATAAAAGCTGGTTTTACACTGTGAACGAGAACCAATTTAGCCTTGAGCACATGAAAAGTCCTTAACTTTCTTTAAAATCATGTCTCTTTCATCAGCAACTAAATCATACTTCTGTTTGAGTTCAGAGCTCATTTTCAATTCAGTTTCAAGTTCTGTCTTAGGATCAAATAATTTCTTAGAAGTATCCAGGAGTTTACCTTCTAACTCCTTCTTCAGCTTCTCAAACATCTTCTTTTCTTTATCAAACTCTCATCTCTCTTCATCTGAGCTGCTCTTTTCATTCTTAGAAGCAATGTCAAGCCATTTTTTCTTTTCTGCAAGCTCTTTGGCAATTGATGCATATTTCTTGGCAGTATTTCTCTTTTCAAGAGCAAACAACTTCTTCTCTTCGTCCAAAGCTTTCTGCTTTTGAGCAATGCTGTCAGATAGTTCAAGATTCTTGCTCATACATTCTTCTGCTCGTTCCAAGATGATAAGCTGCTCAAAATCCGAGATCTGATTCAATAGCATTTTAGCGTTTAATTCCAACGAGTTGATTTTATTTTTAAAAGATATTTTTTTAGTACCAAACCGTTTCTCTACTTCAAGAATCCTTTTCTTCTCTTTCTCAATTTCTTTCCTTTCAGTATTCGAAAACTTTTCAGCTTCCAAAACTTTTTCCTTCTCTAGGTCCAGTAATTTTCTTACTTCAATCAATTCACTCTTAGACTGACAAAGTTTCTCAGTTAGTTTCTTGACTTTTTTATGAATGTTTCTTTGAGAGTTCTTTTTAGCACTCAGTTCATTTTGAACATCTTGAAGTTTCCTAAACAAATCTTTGTTTGATTTAATCCAAACTTTTAATTCTTCAACTGAATCTTATTTTGTGGAATTTAATTTGACAGTAAGTTCTTCAATCTCTTTGTTCAGTCTTACAGTCTCTTGTGGATCAGAAACATTCTTCATAAGATCATTCAACTTTTCTTGCAGAACTTTCTTCTCTTCCTTCTCTCTTTCATTACAGTCAGTTAACCGAATGGTCCAACATATGTTCTTGTTAAGCTCTAAATTTAGTTTATCGTATTTCTCTTTGAGTTCTTTGTATTCCCTCACGTAAAAAGTTGCCATTAAATTTTTTTAAGATTGATTAAAGAATCTTATGCAATGAATGAAATCAGTCGAAGAAATAAAAAACCAATAAAATCTTTCAGAAAAAATCAGTAAGCTCAAGAATATCATAAAAGCTCAAAACAGTTCAAAAATCAAAAATTCAGAGAAAACTGTCAAAAATCAGTAAAAACAGTCAAAAACTATTGAAGACAGTTAAAAACGGTTAAAAGTAGTGAAAAACAGTTTACGCGACACAAAACAGTTCAAAAATCTCAAAATAGTTAAAATGAGATCAAAACAAGTAAAAAGGTCCAAAATTTTCAAAATCAGTAAATTTGAAGAAAAATCATATAAACTCGTGAAATCCAGATAAAATCTGATAAAAATATGAAATCTGGAAAAAAATCGATTTTGAAAAAAAAATTTCAAATTTTGTCAAACAGTGTTTCAAAATCGGACAAACAATAAAAAAATGGCTAAGTATAGAATGCAAATCTCGAAGTGTCTTTGGCAGAGAATCACCAAAAACTCTTAAGCTTTTGGGTGAGAAAACAAAAATTGGGAAGAATCGCATGTCTGTCATATGGTAGTTCATGTTTTCCCATTTCATCCAATGTATGGGAGGCAAAACTGGTGGACAAGATCAAGCGTCCAGAGTTGCATGTGGACATTGGCGTCTCTGTCATTCGCCAAAGGCCAATCAACTTTGCCGACGTGATATTCGAAGATCTGGTGTTGAAGCTGAACAAGCCAGAGGGAGAACGTAGTACCTTACACCAGGTTCTTATCCATGGTGTTTGCTAAGATATTTAGCAACAAGTACTCCACAAAAGGCAACCTACTCATCTAGAAGCTTGGATCTAGAATCTTGGATCATATGCTGAGAACTGAAGGCGTTGCACTATCCTCCTTTGTGCCTGAGTATCCTTCTTCAGCTTCTCCAACTGTGTTGGTATGTCTTTCTTTTCTTGCTCCGGTGGTCAAGACTTAAGAAAACCCCGCAACATTTATCCCAACCACCACCACCCTCTCTTGTAAAAGAACCTCCTCCCAAACCACTCTTGGTTCTCCATCGAGGGCAAAGAAAGCAAGAAAGGGGATAACCACATCTCTGGATGTTACTCTCAAAAGGTTCCAGCTATTTAAACCAGACTTAACCCCGGGGAACCTTCAGCTTTATCTCTTCCAATCTTTTCAGTGATTTCTGCAGTTACTGTTGCACCTGTGGCTCCTATCCCAACCGCCTCAATGACCCAAATAACTGAACATGTGAATATTAGCATAACCCTTGCTGAACATGCATTTCCACCATTTTCATCCATCTTCTCCTCTCCTTCTTCTTTGGTCTCGACCCGTGTTCATGACTCATCAGTGATTGTCCTCCCTGATGATGAAACACACACCATAGGACTTGAGGTTGTTCCTCTCGAAACACCTTAGTTAATGGAAGCGTATCCTCTCGAAGGCAACCTGGAGAGAACCAACATCAATCCTTCAGATGGTGCTGATGAACCCTCAGGTAATCTTCCAACCTACCCTTTCATTTCTTCTAACCCTCGAGCTATCTTATGCTCAACCATCTTCTTTTTCAGGTCCTTGCAATGAAGGAACGCTAGCCATGGAGAAAGAGTATAACATGGCTGATGACATGAACCTGATACCCCCGGCCATAGAGACTGTCTTAATAAAAAAATGAATGAAGTCTATAAAGGCATGCCTCTCAGGGTTGACGTTTCCTTTGACCTTTCAGCTCTCAAAACTGACGACAATGGTGTGAAGGAACAACTTTATGCGGTCTTCTTCAAGCTAGATCGCCTCTCGCTGGATCAAGCTCTCGACATCGGTCTTCTTCAGGCTAGATCGCTAAGCGTGCTTGAACAATGAATGAACATAATAGAACCGAGTCTTGATAACCACTTCTCTAGTCATGCTGATGACAAAGAGGGGGAGAAAGACTTTACTGCTGCTACTGTCCCTACAACTGAAGTTGAAGCTGATGCTCAAAGAGCTGAAGCTAATGAAGCTGAGGTTGTTGATGACACCATCATTTCCCATGAAGTTAATGAAGTTGAGGTTGTTGATCATGCCGTCAGAGCTGTTGTTGAAGCTCATGATAAAGACCTTCCCATTACTCCTGCAGCTGATGCTGCTGATGAGGAAAATGAAGATGAAAATGAAGACGATGACGATGGAGATGACGATGACTCTCCATCCCGTCCTGACGCTGGAAAGGATCTCGGTGGTGATGATGATGAAGACGACAATGACGAAGACTTCACAATTCAGTAACACAAACCTGCCAGTGCTCTGAAAGGAGTCTCTCTCAGCGATTCTTCATCCCAAGGGAAGAAAGAGAAAGAAAAAAGAGAAGAAGACTTCCACAAAGAACCAGAACACCTCCTCAAAAGACAAAGGTGTTGCTGAAGAAGGAAATCTCAAAGTTCTCTTCCAACCTGTCGTGCCACAAGATATTGAATCCTCCAGGTTTGCAATAGTCATGTATTTTTGTCAACTTTCTTCTTCATTCCCTTCTACCACCTTTGGTCGACTAGAGGAATGGGTACCTGAAACCCAACCTCCAGCATTCCTAGCGACCAGCAGATGACTCTGCTTAAGGAGTCACTCAACCAAACTAGAGTATAAATTCCTCTTCGTACCGCTAGTTGTGGTGAGTTTGACTTCCTATCTGAAGCTGAAAGACTCGAGGCACTCAAGGCTGAGGAAGAAATCAATCTTCAACGACATCGGACTAAGGATAGCCTATAGATGGCCAAGATTCTTGTTGCTCAAGTTCTTCCAAAGAAATCAGCTAAAAAGATGGTGAACGTTGTCAAGGCCCAAGCTAATTTGCTTTCTGTTGTAAAAGTTGAACGTGAAAATGAAGCTGAACGATCGAGACAGAAAATGGAGCGAAGATCGTTTGTATAAGAGAATAAGTCCCCATCGCATCTCAAGTGTCGCAATCAATGGACAGATGAAAGATGGTGCAATGCTCATCTCCATGCTCATGATTGGAGACAACCTTGAAGCTGTCATAGAGTACACTTCCTGCCTTGGACAATACGGCTACAGTGAATGGATGGAAATCCGCCAAGCCATTCTGTACTCAAAGTCAAGGCACAAGCCAATAATTGAAGACATCCTTAGCGAGCTGATCAAGAAAATGTCCAAATTCGTTGATATACCTACGAAGCCGTCATTGAAGAAAGGTAGAAGAAGAAAACATTCAGATCCTAACTATGGACTAACTCTGAGGAATGAACATGAAACAAATTTCTCCCCAGACGAAGTCCTGAAGGATTCGAAGAAGACAGAAATCTCTATTATGAACCTCTCTTTGCCAACGAAGGGTCCTTACATACCCAACACTGTGCATCTATAGCCTGAGTTTGAATTTATATTCCTTGACTATGAAGGCGAACACAACTTTCAGAGAGTGTATGAGTTTAATATATTTTCTATAGAACATGTTGATAAGATATTGGTTGGGCAATGATCTTTATGGTGAAATGATAGACCGCAAGATCAGAAGAGAACTTCTATGTCAAAAAATGCTTAGAGAAGAAGTATCTGGTCACATCGACTTCAGCGACTTAGATTAGTTATAAATTTTTGTCTTGTAAATTTTATCTTTCATTGTATGTCTTTTATTTCAGTGTACACCTTTTATGTAATAAGTCTAGAATGTACTGACTGAAACACTTGTAATTCTCCTTCGAGTAATATAAGTATTTCATCAGACTCACTGAAAAAGATCCTTGAAAAGAGAAATAGGGACATATGTCTATGAATTCTATTATGCTTTTACAGTCTCTGACAATCTTCAGTCAGTGAACATGCTTTCAGTTTCAATTTCCCTTGTACTTTTTCTTAAACTTGTAACTTAAGAAAACTTATATAGTAAATATTACGTCACTGAGAAAGATCCCAAAATAGTCAAAAGGGACATCTACTTAATATGTAACTTTTCCTTACTATAAAAACTTAAGTCAATTTTCTTTCTGTTGCTTTGTCATCATCAAATAGGGGAGATTGTTGATCCTGTCTCTCATTGATTTGATGATAATCCCTTTTACCTTTTGAAGTATTATTGTTTCTGTCTTTTCACTTCCAACGCTCGTTGAAACACGCATTGTAATCCTATAGCGACCATGACACTTCAAGAAGACAAACTCACACCCAAGAACCTTTAGTGAATGTTGAAGATTGAAACTGAAGATTAGTGACTGGTGCGTTCATGATCTAAAGAGGTATTCAGTGATTACAACCTAGCCAACATATTTGTGAAGACTGCACAAGCCTTAGTTAATGCTGAAGAGACATCAAGCATTATTCCAACATTCAACGATCAAATGAAGCTTGCCATGCACGATTGTTTTTGTCTTGTCTTTCCACACACAAAGGACAAACCCATACCCTATCAATTGTATAGTACTACATGGAGCCGACTAGTCGACTCTAGTCTGCTCATGAATAGACAATAGTACTATTCACTATTGCAAAGGACAAGCTTTCCTCTTAAAGCTTGATGCATGATCTAACCCTTTGATTTGCATTTAAGGCAATAGGTATAAATAGCTGAGTGCTCTCCTCATGCACTACATGTATATAGCACACAAAAGAAGACATACGCTTATCTTCAAGCAAGTTAGAGTTTCTCTCAAAATTCTAAAGTTCTTACCCAAGAAGAACATCTTTCTCTCTTTATTTTTTCGGCAAATTTATTATATTTGCTAATTATATTTGTGTTTAATCTTAGATTGTTTTTAGATAGGTTATCTTTACCTTTTCTATTTCCGCAAACAATCTATAAAAATCTGTATTGATCCTTCTATATCAATATATATTTTTAAATACGAAAGTTTTCTGTGTTTGTATTTATCCCCCCCTTCTACAAACTATTCCTCTAAACTCTTGTAGACCCGGCTGGGACTAATAGGTAGAATGTGCATAGATTTCGACCAACGATCCATAATCACCCATATGGCATTATATCTCTTTGGAGTTCGCGGTAGCTTCATGATGAAATCCATTGTGATATGATCCCATTTCCACACATGAATCACCAAAAACTGCAAATTCCCATATGGTCTTTGTGTTGGAGCAAAATTATTGTATTCAAGTCTTGATGCAAAAATTGTTTTAAATGCTTTGTAATGTTTAGATGTAAACTTTCCTTTTATAGTTTGGTGGTTTGACTTTCCTATTTTTTAAGGTTGCTGTAAATAGTAATCTGTTTATTTTGTTGGCTAACACTTTTAGACAGAAGTATACAGATACTTTGACATTGAGAAAGAATATTCTTTGTATCAAGCACACCGTTCTTACTATTTCATCAATACAAGCAAGCCGACTGATTTGAATCTCTATCTTGTTCTTGATCTTTGATTGAATCTGTAATTAGACTTCAAATCCGGGATCACAATTGGTATCAGAGCAGAATCAGATTGACTGGATTGGATTTGGATCACATTTCTTGATCGAATTCTTGAAATTCTGTTTTTGACCTTTTCTTGTTTTTGTTCTTGCAAATTTTTATAAATTTGAGCTTTTTGATCGATAATTGTCATGTTGGTAGATGTTAAATGTGTTTCTGCATGTATTTTGAACTAATCTATACAGATTAATTGCATCAATTTGCAATTTCTGAATGAAACCTGAGCATTTTCGTATTCTGGTTTTATGTGTTCTTCTCATCGGATGATAAATCTTCATCGTCCGATAAGAATTGTTTCATCGAAAATTGAATTTGTTCTTATTTGTTCAATAGTGTTATCGTACATTATGTGTGACTTGGATGTTTTTGGATTGATCATCGCTTGAGTTTTGGTCGGATTAGTATTGTTGGATATCTTTGTATTGTTGCTCATCGGATAACATAGTCCGATAACCCTTGGTTATCGCTTAAAGAGTCATCCGGAGACTCTATTCATCGCTTCACTCGTGATTGTCTTTATCGCTCATTTTTGGCTTGTCTGGATTTTTTCACAATTCTCTTTGTGTCCGGATACTTGGATTTTATTTCAAGACTTGTTTGATAACATACTCATCGATCAAGTCTATCTGATAACCATCTCATGAGATAAATCGTTGTCTGATGAAGTGATTCACTCTTGTGTTGTCCGATTACAACATTTCATTGTCCGATAAATAACCTTTGTTGTCTGATAACATTTATCACTTTTCCGGTCTATTTACGTTCTTTATCAGATAACATTTGATCTTTGTCTGATATCTTTGATTTCCTTATCCGATAATAATTTCATTTGTTATCCGATATCTCAAATTTTGTGTCCGATAAGAGTCATCTCTTGAATTTTTCAAAGTTTCATGAAATTCATTTGTCGAGTATTGAGTTTGTCAAATCCAGTCTTAGTGTTTTATCTGAAAAAGATCAATTTTCAAGTCTTTCAGATGTCGAAAGAGATGTTGAGCATTGGTTATGAATCAAAGCCTCCAGTTCTTGTTGTCAGAGAATATAAGCACTGGAAAGTTCAAATGGTACATTTTCTTGATAATAAGGATGAAAAGTTGATGGAATCTATCAAGAATGGACCCTACATCATTTATATGGATCTACCATAGCACACTTGCACTGATGGAATAGTTGTGCCTGCATAAAAAAAAAAGAAGGATCCACAGTATTATACTGAAATAGAGAAACAAAGGGTCCTTAGTGAGAAGAAAGCTTTGACTTATATGATGATGGCCATTCCAAACGAACTTTTTAATCGAGTTGATAGCAGAGTTTCAGCTATAGAGCTTTGAGGTGAATTTGAGAAGCAAATGTTGGCAAGTGAAAAAACTATTCAGACCTATATGAATTAGTGCATAAGTGCATATGAAGGATTCATAGCTCAAGAGAATGAAACCATCACTGAATCCTGGAGATCTTTCATATCTTTCAAGATCCACCCTACAATATGGATAGTGGGCCCCCAGTGGGGGGCTCGCACGACGGGCTATTAGCTCAGTTCCCTTAACCAAACCACTGCCTATGAGTCGCCGACTCATTCTTCAACAGGCACGCGGTTAACAGGTGGACTGGCGACTACAAATTTCAGAAAAGTTGGAAAGGAAATAACAGGTATGATAACAATAACTGATATGGATCTTACTGTATCTATAATCATCCTGTTAAAAGCATGAAAAAGAAAATATATAATAAAATAGATGGTTTGGTAGTTACAACATCCCACAACCTGATACTAACAAAGAAGGACCCAAGTTCGTTTGGGTACCAATATCTGTTTGATCTCATTTTGTAGGTGTGTCATTACCGTGCTTAT